TTATACTTACTTATTTACTTACTTACTTACTTACTTAGTTACTTACTTACTTACTTACTTACTTACTAACTCTCTCCCTATACCGTTATGTACATAAGGCAGAGATGCAAAAACACCTGCATAAAATTTAAAGCAATGTTACCTTGGGTGCGGTGTGTCTTCGGCTCCCCACAGTCTTTGTTTTCTGGTCCTGAGCATCTCTCGGCACAATGAACCAGATCAGGGGAGGGCACACTATGGCGGGGACGCACTGGTGATGGAGAGGGGCAAAATGTGAAGCCTTGTGGTGAAATCAAGCGCCAGTCAAAAAATACAACAGACGATACCAGCATTTTGCTACCGGTTAGGCAATTTTTATTTTTTTTCTTGGCTCATCAACTTTTGTATATATTTAAAAGAACATTTCTGTGTGGATTTTGATGAAATAATTTGATTAAAATCCCTCAAAACTTACGTTTTCAGTTTTCAAGGGCTTTAGGTTTTGGAGGACACCAAAAATTGGCGGCCATTTTCTTGCTATTTACCTTTGAAGCCTCAGTCCAAGTATCTAGACATTTATTGAAAACAGATAAGAGTTTTTTTCATGGAAAGACAGACGAATAAACAACCTTTAAGATAATACCAATAACTCCATATGTCCCAAAATTGACGAGTGCCTGATTCTACCGCGTTGCGACACAAATGTGGCATGATGCGGTAGAATCAGGCGCTCGTCAAATTGTGAATATGTGGTGGCATTGGTATCATCTTTAAGGCTGTTCATTTATCTTACCTTTGAAGAAAAAAAATGCCCATCTCACTTTATTATCAGTTGAGACATTTTCGATTAAAAGAAATGGGGGTCGCCAGTCGTGAAAGGTAAGCGTAACACAAATGTAAATGGCCGCCAAATTTAGTGACCTCCAAAGCTTGAGCGTTCTTGAAAACTGCAAATTTGCATTTTTGTGCCTTTGGTGAACGTTTTTCAGCAAAGTCTACTCAGAAATAGTGTGTTTTAAAACAGACATAAAAAGTACCAAACTCAATAACAGAAATATAAATGATAAAATTACCCAAGCGGCGGGACGAAAACCTTTCTATTTCACAGAATGATGTGTCTACAATGTATGCACGGTTTTTCACTTACATATAATTCCAAAAGAAGGAAAGAAACAGTAGAAGCCACCCACCTTCCCTCATGACAATGACAATGACAATCTTTGTTCATCTCGAAGGAAGAAATTTGTCTTGGTCGTTAACAATGGCAGTAGGTGTTACAAAGGCTAGGTGCACTCACACATACATTAGTATGTCTCACGTGCTGGAACAACCCGTTCCGTAAAACATTCTCTCTCTCTCTGTGTTTCATTTGTAGCACTGTGTGTTAGGTAAACTCATTGCAGTTGGTACGAATAAATTTCTATATCTGTCTGTTCTTGCTTTTTTGGAAATGTATCGTTTACTGCGGGTCGACAGTCGAAATTCCGATGTCAGTGGGTGGCTATGGTCACTAAGCATTATTTCCGCCTTTTATAGAACGTTTGTCTTGTGCAGATACTCAACGTTACTTTGGTCTCTTCCAATGGTTCTTGATGCGTTTCTCATCAACTTGTTTATTTTTATGATGTGCTGTCTTCCCAAATTGCTACCATAGCTAGTGATACCAAAATGTATCAAAGTTTCTATTGAGGTGGTGTAGAATATCTGAAGGATGGATGGATTCAGATGGAAAGACCTAAGTTTCCTCAGAAAGTACAGCCTCTGATTTACTCTTTAACAGTAAGCTTTTGTTTGAAGGGACAGAAACCACCCACGAAAGAAGATTCACAGTCTTTAGTTTAGTTTTAGTTTTAGTAAGCTTTTTACGGCGCTCCTAACTGCATAAGATCATATGAGTGCCAAGGGGTGGATGTCAACAGAGAAGCCCAAACAGGGAATCAGGCTTTCTCTGCTCACCTCAACAGAACAAAGTCTGCTTCGACTATCAAGGCACCCTGGAAACAGCAGTTCACAAGAGAGTAACAAACATACAAAAGAAGTAGAGGAAAATGACCATAGTAAGGATGAAGAAAGAAAAAGCAGCAGTTCCCCCTATGTTGTTTTGCCACAGTTTGAGCATGACATTGATAAGTCAGCCCATTTACAATTCTACTGTTCATACGAACCTTTTGGGAATAGCCTAAAGACACTTCAGTCAGCGGTATTGCCGCCGGGGGGGG